CATGTTTTTAAAATTGTGGCAAACCGAGAACAGAAAAGGATTGTAGGGGGATTAGAGGAAGACTTCAGAGAGAGCAATTAGGGGGCTGTTGCCATGAGCCAGACAAGACTGAGGATGGCTTGGAGCAGGGTGGGTGGTAGTCGATGAGTGGAATAGATGTACTGGATTTGAGGATGCTCTGGAGGGAAAGGGAGCAGGGTGAGAGGCAGTGGGAGGCTGAGAGAAGAGTCAAGGAGGCTCCCGGGTTAAACCAACTCTGTTGGCTGCTTCCTCTTGGCCCTGAGTTAGTGGAGGTGGGAGGAAGGGAAACAGTTGTTGACAGTAATGCTCTCCCCTAATCCCACTTAAAAGCTTCATGCTCAGAAATTGTTCTTTTGTCTTTATCACCAGGACACCACCAAGTCTACTCACGTTTTATCAGTTGGTTTTCCTCCCATCTATTTCATGGGCCACACTTCCTCAGCCTTCTTTGCTGGATTCCCCCTTCACCTTGACCTCTAAATGTTTAGAGTATACCAAGGCTCAGGCTTGGAGCTCTTGTATTCTCTATTTATGCTCACTCCCTAGGTAATCCATTCCATCTCTTGGCTTTTAAAAATCAACTGTGTGCTGAACACTCCCAAATTTATATCTTCATACTAGACCTCTCTCCCCTGAATTCCAGACTCATACACAATTGCCTACTCAACATCTCCACTTGAATATTTAGTCATCTCAGACTTACCATTCTCTGCACCTCCATTCACTCCTTCCACTACACACACACACACACACAAACACACACACACACTCATAACCTCCCTCACTTGGCTCCAGCCACACTGGTCTCCTTCCTCTTCCCCTAATGCAATAAGCCTTTGCACTTGCTGTTCCCTCTACCTGAATGGCTTCTTCCCCAGATATCTTTTATTATTATTATTATTGATTTCAGAGAGGAAGGGAGAGGGAGAGAGAGATAGAAACATCATTGATGAGAGAGAACCATTGATCGGCTGCCTCCTGCATGCCCCCCACTGGGGATCGATCCCGCAACCCGGGCATGCACCCCCGACTGGAATTGAACTCGGGACCCTTCAGTCCGCAGGCTGACGCTCTATCCACTGAGCCAAACCAGCTAGGGCCCCCAGATATCTTAATGCCTTACCTCCGTCAGCTGTCTGCTCCAACATTAAGTTTTCAGTGAGGCCTTCTTTGACCAGCCTATTTACAATTGCTACTACCCTACTCCACCTTTCAGCCTCACTTTTCTCTGTAGCGGTTGTCAGTATCTGCTATTCTACACATTGTTTGCTCGGCATCCCCCCACCCCCACCACTAGAATATGAACTTCATAATGACAGGGCTTTGTCTCTTATTCCCTGCTTCTCCCTTAATCAGATCAGAGCCTGGCACATACTTGGCACTCAATAAATAGTGAATGAATGAATGGAGTTAGGGAAAGACCTGTAGTCCTCAAGAAGCAGCCTGGGTCTGAGAATTAAGACCTCATTTCTAGTACTCGCTTTGGCACTAGCTATGTGGCGTCTGGGCTCACCTTGTCTATCTGTAAACAGTGGAGAACTTCTGGTCCTTTGCTGGTGCCGCATTCTAGAATGAGGCTTAGCAGTAGCCCACCTTCAGCCATTTGACTGAGGGTAGGAGGCAGGGATAGACAGGACCTGGTGGAGTAAGAGGAGGGAACTCTTGCTCCTTCTTTCTAGTCAAGGTTTGGGTGGAGTCTTCGCTGGCTTTGAAATGAGAGGCAAGGTTTTGGCTTGGACTTGGAGCCCTGGTGAGGAAGAAGGAATGAGGGGTCCAGCTCCACATAGAGGCCTGGTCCCTAAGCCTGGGCTCCTCCTCATGGGGAATCTGTGCCTTTGAGGGCCTCATGGGAAGTGCTGCTATAGGAAAACGAGGAGAAGGGAAGGAAGGTGGGAGATCAGGATGGGTAAGAACCAGGGAGGGCGGACTGAGAGGGCCGCCTGCTGTGGGGTCACCTGGGCCGCACATTGGTCTTCAGTGGATTCTGGGAGATGAAGCCTCCGTGCAGACCTCAGCCAGCGCCCACTCCAAGACAGACTGGCAGGCCTTTTGGCTGAGGAGAGCCCAGCCCTCCTCCTTTTTCTGGGCCTTGCAACAGCTCCCTGCTTGTTTTCCCCGAAATAAATGGGCTGAGCATATTGGGCCGGCAATAACCCCTTGAAATCAGTTGTTATCACAGTTAACAACCAGTTTGGCTTCAGTTCAGGCTGTTAACTATCAAACCACTAAGTGCCGGTAATGATTGATTCTTGGCCAGTTGCAGCTTGAGTGGGCTGTAAAACCCCATTAGCGAGGGTTCTGTGGAGGCAGCAACGCAAAGATAAACAAGGTGGTGGGTGCCCTAGCTCAGCCGAGCCCACTGCTTTGGGCTCTGCCCCATGGCACCTTGGCCTGGGGTCCTGCTGGGATTCAGCCCCTTCCCAAAGCCTCAGGCAGTCTCATGGACCACATACCCACCGTCCTGTCCACTTCTAGTCTCCCCCCACCCCGCTTAGTCATCTCCCTCCTCCCTATAGGCAGGTCCAGCTCTGTGGACAGCCCAACTCTTCTCCCTTATCACAGCCATAGCACAGTTCCATCCCACCACTCTGGGCACGCAGGCATCATTAGCCTGGAGGCTTCACGGGTAGCTTTGGCCTAGCCAGTGACCAGCCTTGGCCCAGCCTGGCCCCACTTGGTGGCCAGGATCACAGGCAGGGAGAGTCTGACATTCCACCCCACCCCAGACTCCCTCCTGTCCTTTGGCTTCCCCCAGGAATTGCTCTCAAACAAATGAAATGTGGGTAATTACTGGGCTCGGGGCTGGACAGGCGGCCCTGCAGATGAAAGCATTTCCTGGACGGTCTCTTCATTTGCATGGCATCAGAAGCTGCTCAGAAGGTGTGACTTTTCCCACAGTGAGACCCCAGCTCCTTGCACAATAAAGCCAGGCTGCTCACCCAGAATTAATTAAAGGGGGAGGGGAGGAGATGGAGCAGAGTTGGAGGCACTAAGAGCTGGGGAGCTGGAGGAGAGATGTCTACAGCCCCCCTCCCCAAGTCCCAGTGTCTATAAACCAAACCTACTGTATCCAGAACCCCTCACCCTCATAGCAGGCTAAAAGAAGTGATGTGGACAAACCCCAGGGTATCCCCAATCTCACTACTCCAAGGCTTTCCACTGAACCCTGGAATTCCTGATCCACCTGGAAGGCCTGAGCCTGGGACTTGCGGCTGCAACTCTGGGAGACCTATGTGTTTAGAAAACCTTGGGGTGCTCCCCTTCCAAAGGAGGTGCCGAAGAACAGAAGCACAGAGGGAAGAAGTTTCTGGATTGTCCTAGGAACTGGGCACCCTCAAAAGAGGTAGCAGAAGCAGCTAGCATGGGAGGCCTCAGTTATAAAGACTGGGCCAGCTCTGCCCTCGGGAGACCTGTTACTTCTGGGTTTGGGCTCTTCATCATACCATACCATGGTGTGGTATGAGACCAGTGTCACCAGTCCGCATCCACACACACACCCCTCCACCGCCATGGACCGTCCCCTTGCCCACACCATGACCTGCTCTACTAGCCCGACCTCTGCTTCCCTTTCCATCCCATGCCCAGTTCCCTTCCCTCCAAGCCCCATCTCTCCAAGGGTGGCAGCCTCTCCCTAAACCATCGTCCCTGGACTCTTTGCAGCACCTGAGCTCAGCACCTTCTGCTCACAGCTCTCTGACCGGATCTCCGAAAGCTAACACTTGTTCTGCGTCACAATTGTCAGCACCAGCCTTGGCGGTCCCCCCTCGGACAGACCCCCACCTTGGACCCTGGCAGCTGCTCTTTTCTTTCATTTTCTGGAGTCTGATACTCAGAAAGAATGAGCTTCGACACCTCCTGTCTCTCTCAAAGACCTAGGCACACACAGAGGCACTTCTTTTAGACTCACTGAGTCCATGATCGCAGCTCTGGTCCTAGGAGAGTCATCATTTCTGGCCCAGAGTGGCCTGGGGAAGTGTTAGCATAAATCCTGTAAAAGCTAGGAAGTCATGTCTCCAGGACAGCTAAGAGCTCTTCTGCTCTTTCCTGCTCCTGTCTCCAGAAATCTCAGTGACATGATGAGACAGCAGACAGACATGGGCTGAGCTAAGGGGCTATAGTCGAGATGGGCTGATTGCTGCTCTCCAGCCCTCCCCTCGCAGCTGGGCAAGCAGGGGAGAGATGACCCGCGGATCACCACACCATTTAATGCATATAAATTAGCTTAAGCTATA